AGGTCTCTGTAATTTTGCACCCTGTAAAGGCTATTTCGCAGATGGAAAATGTCACTTGTGTGTGTAAATGATGATCCCTAGAGACCTAATAATAAAATCCCTGAATTCGATGTCCTTGATGTGATGATGACTCACGTCTGTCAGAAACACTTGTCTCCAAGTGAATCATTCCTGGTTCTTTGTCCAAACCCAGTTTTGACCTGTGGGGAGAGGAGCGACAACTGAGGAACACTGCAAGGCAGAACATCTTTTCAAATATGATATGTGCATTACAGTGGGGGAAAAAAGTATTTAGTCAGCCACCAATTGTGCAAGTTCTCCCACTAAAAAAGATGAGAGAGGCCTGTAATTTTCATCATAGGTACACGTCAACTATGACAGACAAAATGAGAATTTCTTTTCCAGAAAATCACATTGTAGGATTTTTAATGAATTTATTTGCAAATTATGGTGGAAAATAAGTATTTGATCAATAACAAAAGTTTCTCAATACTTTGTTAAATAACCTTTGTTAGCAATATCACAGGTCAAACGTTTTCTGTAAGTCTTCACAAGGTTTTCACACACTGTTGCTGGTATTTTGGCCCATTCCTCCATGCAGATCTCCTCTAGAGCAGTGATGTTTTGGGGCTGTCGCTGGGCAACACGGACATTCAACTCCCTCCAAAGATTTTCTATGGGGTTGAGATCTGGAGACTGGCTAGGGCACTCCAGGACCTTGAAATGCTTCTTACGAAGCCACTCCTTCGTTGCCCGGGCGGTGTGTTTGGGATCATTGTCATGCTGAAAGACCCAGCCACGTTTCATCTTCAATGCCCTTGCTGATGGAATGAGGTTTTCACTCAAAATCTCACGATACATGGCCCCATTCATTCTTTCCTTTACACGGATCAGTCGTCCTGGTCCCTTTGCAGAAAACAGCCCCAAAGCATGACGTTTCCACCCCCATGCTTCACAGTAGGTATGGTGTTCTTTGGATGCAACTCAGCATTATTTGTCCTCCAAACACGACGAGTTGAGTTTTTACCAAAAAGTTATATTTTGGTTTCATCTGACCATATGACATTCTCCCAATCCTCTTCTGGATCATCCAAATGCACTCTAGCAAACTTCAGACGGGCCTGGACATGTACTGGCTTAAGCAGGGGGACACGTCTGGCACTGCAGGATTTGAATCCCTGGCAGCGTAGTGTGTTACTGATGGTAGGCTTTGTTACTTTGGTCCCAGCTCTCTGCAGGTCATTCACTAGGTCCCCCCGTGTGGTTCTGGGATTTTTGCTCACCGTTCTTGTGATCATTTTGACCCCACGGAGTGAGATCTTGCGTGGAGCCCCAGATCGAGGGAGATTATCAGTGGTCTTGTATGTCTTCCATTTCCTAATAATTGCTCCCACAGTTGATTTCTTCAAACCAAGCTGCTTACCTATTGCAGATTCAGTCTTCCCAGCCTGGTGCAGGTCTACAATTTTGTTTCTGGTGTCCTTTGACAGCTCTTTGGTCTTGGCCATAGTGGAGTTTGGAGTGTGACAGGTGTCTTTTATACTGATAACAAGTTCAAACAGGTGCCATTAATACAGGTAACGAGTGGAGGACAGAGGAGCCTCTTAAAGAAGAAGTTACAGGTCTGTGAGAGCCAGAAATCTTGCTTGTTTGTAGGTGACCAAATACTTATTTTCCACCATAATTTGCAAATAAATTCATTAAAAATCCTACAATGTGATTTTCTGGATTTTTATCCCTCATTTTGTCTGTCATAGTTGACGTGTACCTATGATGAAAATTACAGGCCTCTCTCATCTTTTTAAGTGGGAGAACTTGCACAATTGGTGGCTGACTAAATATTTTTTTCCCCCACTGTATATGGTAAACACTGTATGTTTGGGTTTATAATAGCATCAGTTAATTTATGATAGAATCTCAACATTTTCATCAATGACATGTACATTTAGCTCATGATCTAGATGTGATCTGATCATTGAAGAGTATAGGTGTGCCCTGTGATTTAAAAAATCATTGGTTTAACAAGATGAAGAAAGGCACACTGACATCAATCTGTATGGGAAACATTATTAATCATTCTGTTGGTTTTCATCTATTCCAAAAGGATCCTGTGAACAAAGACAGTGCTTCACAGTCATAAAAAAAGTGAGAGACCGAGAAATTAATCAAAAGCAGAACTCAGAACAGAGATATTAATTTACAAATGTCAACCCCTCTGTTCAATCGTGCTAGTTCTACCTTTCTATTAAAATGTCAGCTTTCTAGAGAGGACAAAGTCATGTCGGAAGACATTTGAAGGATGACAATGTTTGTGATTTCCATTTTGATTCAATTAAATTATAATAGAGAACCTAGCTGCTTGAAATCTTGACCCCTTTCTCGTTGAAAAAAATAACAGCGACAACAAAAATGTCCCGTAAACATGGCCCCGTAAATCACTTGGCATGTGGGGTAATTCAGAGGGAAGGTGCCTCGGAGCCATTTCATCCTTTTTCAATAGAGCCTCAACTGGGAGGCAGCGGTTAAGTGCGGAGTGACAAGAGTGAGCACTTGTTGTATAAATAGCAACTATTGTGGAAGAAAATGGGTTTCTCCTCACTTTCCAGACTGTGTCAGTGTCTGAGCCATTATAAAAAAGGGCCCATCCTGCTTCCCTCAGCACTCTGTAATTGCCTTGCTACTCCATCTATTTTAAATGGACTTTCTGTCAAATACTTCATCCTCTTATATTGGAGAACAGCAGCCCCATGTTCTTAAACAGGTTCCTTATATGTTCCTCTATCACTCTGGACTGTATGGACTACATGCCTGCATTGTGTGATCTATGTGGCTTGTTAACAGGTTGATGGTGTAAATCTGCCAAGGCGAGGCTACGGTAACAGTAGATAAACTGCAGTTATGTGGCGTAAAAAATAACTTAAGATATTAACTGTATTTTGTCCTACCTGAATGTAATATTCATACCACAAACAAAACAGATATATGTTTGGTAGGAGGGTCTACACCTTTGTTTGCCTCTGAGAGGACAGTTTTATAATTGATGGCAATAATATCAGGATCATAGAAGTTGTAAACAACAAATAAATATGGAATAGATACATAAACCCAAGCCGTCTAAAGTAAACCTCTAAATCAAATGTTTCAACAATAATATAAAAAGGAGAACAGATAAATGGAATTGAAAGCAGCAATCTTGCTAAATATTGCATACAGTAGACCTATACACAACCTGTACAGAAACCTACATGCAAACTAGTATCAATTCATCATATACCTGTAACTAATTAAAAAGCTAATGTGTTACTCAATATTGCATCCAGCTCTACTCTGGTATCAACTCCATAAGGAAATCTTAGGGCAAATATATAAACTGTTTAGAACAAGAGACCAATAATGGCTTTACTTCGATGATACATTGCTTCCACTACATCTTTCTTTGGCTCCTGTTTTGGGCTAGAAAGCGCTTGATCATCATTTGTTCCCAAGTGATACAGTTTGTGAAATAAGTTTTAGTCAACTTTGACCTAATTATTGTATTCTAATTGAGTCATTCACTTTAAGAGATGATGTTGTCCTGATGGCATTATTTATCAAAATGTTAAAAGTTGCCTGATCACTCAAAAAGTATTGATCTCCCTTGCCCCCTTGTAAATAGAAATGATTATGTTTTGTGATGACACATATTCATAGTATCATTATCTGGCAACAGGCACTACTGCATTAAGATACTGTATGTCATGGCAAATAAGGTAGATTAGTGACCAGTCCTAAACACAGTATTTCTTAAGCACAACTGTTGGACCTTAGCAAAATATTTATTTCAACTATTCATGTGTTCATCAGGACCATAATTGTACATACTATATGCCATCTATTGAGTTCAACTCAGGTACGGGCAGAAGATTGAATTCAATACGACAATTCTGATAGGCTATCAATTCAGAATACTGTCAGTAGAGGAAAGAATGGTACTATTTATGAATATTGTAATACAGAGACTTGAAGTATGTGTCCAATGATGATAGAAAATACTGATTTATTCTCTCACCAGTAAAATCTGTTGGGGACCACACTGTCATGTACGAGCTGCCATCTTCTTCCAAATTCAACAGAGACGTAGAGCTGAAAGAAAAGTAGTTTTAGAAAATCTGAAGATAAAAAATAAAATTATATTCCAGAGTTCAAACTAAGAGTTCAAACGAAGAAAACGTCAGACCTGGAGAATTCTCTTTCCCTCCATTTTAAGGCCTGTCATGTAAGTCTAATGGAGGCCGATACAAAATGTTAATTATACTGACATGTTTTTTTCCCCCTTTCTGCACTTTAGAGCACTTTGTTTGAATGTTTTTGTTATGAGTGCTGTACAGTTGAAGCTTTAAAGAAGACTTGGAAATAGTACTTTATATTTGAAATACAGTTTCAAAGAGTTTTTATTATGACAGGCTCGTTTGGATCAGCTTCTACCTCTCTTCCTCCATAGGATTTGTCCCTAATTGACAGTGACACATTTAACCATCAGTACAATTACTTTGCATTATGCTATTGCACTCCCTCTTTTAGCAGAGTAGGGCTGTTATCCAAGCTCTCAAAAGACATGTCATCCATCCTGCTATAACTGTCAAGTCTTTTCAGTTGCTCAGCCTAATTCATAATGATAAGACTTTTACATAATATGAGAGCACATCACACATAGGGAACTATTTTACGATACAGTCATTTTCTATAGTACTATTGCCCTGTACAATACAGCAAACAAATTAATGTATATAAAAATAGAAAGAGGTGCTTTCCCCTCTGGGAGACAATGATGCTAATGCAAGAACAAGCATAAGTGTAGAGCACACAGCTACCATTGAAGTAAACATCTTGTTAAAGTCAATAAGGTCAATAGACTCACTGGCATTAACAAGGCCCTTGACTCAATCAATCAATTTGTGTGTGTGCTTTCTCCCCCCTCCCCCTCCTCACTCCTCAGTTCTAATTGACAGGAGTCTCTTTACCTTCTGGTCGTGGCTGTAAGCCAGGATCCAGTCCTCCTGCTCGGGGTGGAAGAGGAGGCTGAGGATGTCGAAGGCTAAGTGGTACCTCTGATAGGATGCGCCCTCATCAAGGCTAATGAGCAGGCTGCTCTCCACCTCCGGGTCAGTCAGTAACATGATCTGAGATGAGAGAGGACAGGTCAGGAGAGGAGAGGAAGGAGAGTTATCCTCCTGCTATGACAGCATCCACAGGGCATTAGGTGTGCTGTCTATTAGGTCTGCTGTATATTCTGCGAGTGCAGACCGTCTTATATAAACAGAGATGATATCAATAGTAATTCAAATAAAAATGCTGCCAACATAGTATGAATAAGAATGATATTAGCTCCAAAATCTAACAGATGTATGTATCCATTGTTTTATAAATCACAACATTTAGTAATGATTATTATTATTATCCATTAATGTTCGTAATGATTAAACTTGATAATTATACTATTGTTAAGAGTTTTAAGGACATGAAACAGATATGGTTATGGTATGGTACATGTATGAGGACTTACCTTTCGTTTGTTATTTGGACTCACGTACAAGTAGCTTAGTATGGTTTTTGGCCCAACCTTTTCATCAAGTTTCTCATATGTGGTTCCATAGTCTGTTGACCTAGAATTCAATTAGGGGATTAACTAAATTAGTTATTCTACTGTTAAATGGTGAGACTGAGAGCACAGAGCAATATCAATGATAATACCTATGGTTTAGTACAGTGATAGTATCATTAGGCTTCGCAGGCAATTGGAACTGGAACGACGCAATTTGCTAGTTGAATGGAGAATTGTTCAATTATAAGAATAAACATGGATATCAGTATGACAGACTACGCAAGGGAATTATATGATTTGTAGTTCATGTAAAACATACAGTATACAAGTGTCCTAAAACGTTGACACCACAATATACATTATAAATATCAACCCTGTTTCTCAGTAACATTAAAAACCAAGCTTGATAACAAATGTGTTGGAGTTGGAGACAGTTACATAATCATATTAGAAAAGCTTCTCCAGAAGCATGTGTATTTCACATTGCCATCTGGCATTTTCTGGATGTCAGAAATATTTCAAGTTTAATATGCTACATTCAGGAACATACAGTACAACACTAGTTTGCAGTGTTTGAACACAACGTTCCCAGTGTACTGTATCATGCAACATTAAAAAGGGCCATTCGTTTTTCCTAACCATGTGATAGGCAATCACTCGGGCAATCACATGATCAAGAACAACTCTTGGTCCTGAACATGAACACCGAAGCCAGAACCCCTCCTTACCTCCATAGAGAGCTCTCTGTGACACTGCCAAGGCTGAAGTCAAAGTACTTAGTCAGCATTAGAATCACCTACAAAATAGAACAAAGTTCCCATCTCAGCGTACAGTTTTAGAAAATACTAGTAATAGACAACCCTTGTTAAGGTAACACTTCCATGCATCATATCATCTGGCACAATGGTGGCACTTGAAGTAATGATCCACTGTGCACACACTGGTTAAATCAATGTTGTTTCCACATAATTTCAATGAAATTACGTTGAGCCAATGTGGAATAAACATTGAATTGACATTTGTGCCCAGTGAGGAGTTGCCTATTATGCATGATTTCCCTATTGAGGTGGTAAATAAGCCTCAAATACAAAATAAGGGAGAAAATAAACTTTTGACAACCTCATCTTCAAACTTACAACTGTTGTTATTTTTATCATTGGAAGTGGTTTGAACAGGATGGCCTTTTGAGGTGTGTATCATCAATTTTACAACAGTAGCTAGCAACACATAAGCCTTAATATGGATGCTTATGTCAACATCCACACACATAAACAAATCCAAAACAAACTTCTGAGGTCTTGTCAAGGCATAATTTTGCATGAGGATGGTGCATCTTCTGTGCAAAGGTAAATCAGGGAACATGCACTATGTTGTGTTTTTGTAGGGCTCAGCGGGTTTCTTCCATGGCAAACACTACCAACGGTGGTCTATAAATAAATGAATAAATAAGTAAACAATGCATCTATCATTCATCCTAGGCACAGCAAGGCTCTCCTCGTAAATATCATGGACATCATTTTTGAGGAGATCGTAAAGAACACCATCGTTATATGGCTGTTATACAAGCCTTTACTTAATAGGTATGAAGACACATAAATTGTGAGGTGTCACGTAAATTGTTCCAGATGTTAATGAATGGCTCTCTTGTGGACAGGTTTATTTTCCCTGTTGTAATTTGAAAGGAGAAACTCTTTTCCTACTCAGTATTTGTTTGAATCTAAATAAAGTCTGTGTATCACTTCATTAATATTATATAAGCCAATGTTTACAGATTGATATGTCTCTTTCCCTCAGCTCTGGATACTTGAAGACAATATGGAAAAATACAATTAAAAAATATGCTAAAGTATGCAACTGTCTCAATGGTTCACTCCATAAGAAACCAGTGTAAAGGTCTTCTACTCCTTGGAGACGACCTCTCTCCTGGGACCATTTTTCTTCCCAATTGTACCCATTTCTTTTGTTTGTTATTTGGCCTTTTAGTTGATACAATTAATCAAGAAATGTGGCTCTTTTCATTAAAACGTGTATATATTGTGGTTGGCCAAAGTGTGGTGAGGAATAATATCAGTATCTTGTTAACACAGCAGTAATATAGAACCCTGTGGATTGGGAAGTGGAGATTAATGGTCAACCAATAACATGGCCTTTATAACTTCCAAAAGTACCAATCTGTTGGACATTGTCGTGCACAATAAAACAACCTAGAGCAGTTTGGAAAGTAGAGCCAATTACTTCCTGTCTCCTGGATGGTCATTAATTTAACCATTTACTTGGAGAAAGTCCAGTGGAAGACTCAAATCAGTTGCATCCCCTGAAGTGCCAGCTTTAAAACTTGAGGTGTTAGGCAAGTGTTGAAAGTACAAGGTGAAGCTCTCTTAATGTTGTAAATATTTAATGTACCAGGCATCAATATACAGTGATACTTAATTTTGTAGATTGTTGTGTGTTAAACAGGGGGTATGGGCTGGGTACTTACTTGCTATCTTATTGTAGCCATAAACATTAGTGAAGAAACTCTGAGCAAGAGCAATAAAAACCTATTAAAATCACCAATTTATTTTATTTTATTTATTTTATTTCACCTTTATTTAACCAGGTAAGCCAGTTGAGAACAAGTTCTCATTTACAACTGCGACCTGGCCAAGATAAAGCAAAGCAGTGCGATAAAAACAACAACACAGAGTTACATATGGGGTAAAACAAAACATAAAGTCAAAAATACCACAGAAAATATATATACAGTGTGTGCAAATGTAGCAAGTTATGGAGGTAAGGCAATAAATAGGCCATAGTGCAAAATAATTACAATTAGTATTAACACTGGAATGATAGATGTGCAAGAGATTATGTGCAAATAGAGATACTGGGGTGCAAATGAGCAAAATAAATAACAATATGGGGATGAGGTAGTTGAGTGGGCTAATTTCAGAAGGGCTGTGTGCAGGTGCAGTGATCGGTAAGGTGCTCTGACAACTGATGCTTAAAGTTAGTGAAGGAGATAAGAGTCTCCAGCTTCAGAGATTTTTGCAGTTCGTTCCAAAGGAGGTGTTGGCTTTGGGGATGACCAGTGAGATATACCTGCTGGAGCGCATACTACGGGTGGGTGTTGCTATGGTGACCAATGAGCTAAGATAAGGCGGAGATTTTCCTAGCAGCGATTTATAGATGGCCTGGAGCCAGTGGGTTTGGCGACGAATATGTAGTGAGGACCAACCAACAAGAGGGTACAGGTCACAGTGGTGCGTAGTATATGGGGCTTTGGTGACAAAACGGATGGCACTGTGATAGACTACATACAATTTGCTGAGTAGAGTGTTGGAGGCTATTTTGTAAATGACATCGCCGAAGTCAAGAATCGGTAGGATAGTCAGTTTTACGAGGGCATGTTTGGCAGCATGAGTGAAGGAGGCTTTGTTTGCGAAATAGGAAGCTGATTCTAGATTTCACTTTGTCCATTCCACATTGAGTGAGGCGGGTTGCAGGAAAGTATATTTAGTAGAAGGATGAAAAGTGTGATAGGGAAATATGTACGAAAAATACAAAAAAATACAAAAAACAGGCTATTTACACGGACACACTAGAGAACACGACCGCACTGCTACGCCATCTTGGATACCAATGCTCTGAAGCTAAACTGTGTAGATTAGGGATTTGGTTGGGGTAAAGAGACATTACAAATTCCTAGATAAAAAAAGGGAATGTCCGCAATTATACTTTTAACAGCTTGCTAAATAAGTGCACAGCTCCATACCTTCCACATCTTGACAAAGATGAGATGTTCGAAAGCTTTTAACATGTCGAAAACTATTCATGCCATGTTAGCGACAAATGTCTCCTAAAGAATTATTTGACATAGGAGAATAAGAAAAAAAAATTCCAAGCCCTGTGTAAATCTCAACGCCTGGAGAGTGAATGCATTGGTAAGAATCTGATCATTATTGAGGCATGAAAGGGTTTTATAGTGAATTAAAAGAGCTTAGTATGAGGAGATTACCACGGTGGAATGAAGGCATTGTATTAAGACGGATGGAGTGATGTGGGATAGAGGGTGGAGGTGGGAACTTTCTATTAGTGAAGGATGAGGAGCACCTGAAAGAGAAGAATTAAAGGCAAGACAGACTATACATTACGATTCATTCCCAGACTCAGTGACTCCCTGATCCAGCCTTATCAGCTTCAGGAATTAAGTTACCTCATGAATAAAACTGTCGACATATTTACCCACTGCAATTAAATAGATGGATGACTCCATAAAAGCAATTGTTACCCAAGTAACTGATCAGAATATTAATAGGGTAGTTTTCTGAATGGAAAAGCACAACTAACATGTTACCCTTTTCGGCTTTTAAGAGTTTATCTAACTATTTCCACTACTACCACACTAATGACACTGATAAAAAATATCAAGCCAGCTCAAGTCTCTCCCTCATGTTAACCCTTATTGTACAGATGTGAGTTGTTATACTGCAGTCACAATACAATTTAGTGCTTAATAGCAATTGAGTAGACACCCACATTCTTAGAAATGTACAGTACATTTTAGCCAATTAATATAAGATTTAAATGAGCATTTGCGGTCCAACATAATGAGTGTAAAGAATTGTGACAGATTCTCTGGGAGCGGAGCAGGTGATTACTTTCAAACAGATGTTTCTGTTGGTTCATAATGATATTAACATTAAAAGCTGTGAATTTTGAAAGTAAAGGTTTTCGTATCATCAGCTTATCATACAGCTATAAGTTAAAATCTGACTTATTTCCTGTGTTTTACTGGGAGAAACTCCTTTTGTAAGAATAAAATGCATAAACTATCATTATTTACACAAGCTATACTTTCTGTTTCAAATCAAATCAAATTTTATTTGCAACATCCGCCAAATACAACAGGTGTAGACCTTACAGTGAAATGCTTACTTACAAGCCCTTAACCAACAATGCAGTTTTAAGAAAAATAAGTGTTAAGTAAAAATTAGATCAGTAAAAAATACTAATATGTAATATGTACTTGTGGGTAAAGTTAAAGTGACTATGCATAGATAATAAACAGAGAGTAGCAGCAGCGTAAAAAGAGTGGGTGGGGTGTGGTGGGGGGGACAATGCGAATAGTCTGTGTAGCCATGATTAGCTGTTCAGGAGTCTTATGGATTGGGGGTAGAAGCTGTTAAGAAGCCGTTTGGACCTAGACTTGGAGCTCCAGTACCGCTTGCTGTGCGGTAGTAGAGAGAACAGTCTATGACTAGGGTGGCTGGAGTCTTTAGGGCCTTCCTCTGACACCGCCTGGTATAGAGGTCCTGGATGGCAGGAAGCTTGGCCCCAGTGATGTACTGGGCCATACGCACTACCCTCTGTAGTGCCTTGCGGTCGGAGGCCGAGCAGTTGCCATACCAGGCGGTGATGCAACCTGTCAGGATGCTCTCGATGGTGCAGCTGTATAACTTTTTGAGGATCTAAGGACCCATGCCAAATCTTTTCAGTCTCCTGAGTGGGAATAGGCTTTGTCATGCCCTCTTCACGACTGTCTTGGTGTGTTTGGACCATGATAGTTTGTTGGTGATGTGGACAAAAAAGGAACTTGAAGCACTCAACCTGTTCCACTACAGCCCCGTCAATGTGAATGGGGGCATGCTCAGTCCTCTTTTTTTTCCTGTAGTCCACAATCATCTCCTTTGTCTTGATCACGTTGAGGTTGTTATCCTGGCACCACACGGTCAGGTCTCTGACCTCCTCCCTATAGGCTATCTCATCGTTGTCAGTGATCCGGCCTACCACTGTTGTGTCATCAGC